TCAGCACAACAGGATCCCTGTTCGGGCAGCAATTGTAAGGGTTACTTAAATTTGTGACCCTGCGATGAAGTATGAACTGACACAAATTTCCTTTTTAAGTAGTAAAATTTAATAAAAGATTAGTAAAGAAATGCATATCAAAGTTATACATTTCATCAAAACAAATTAATGCTTAAGAAAGGTGAGTAAAGTTCACTGCAATGAGTTGATTAGACCGATACAGTGGCTTTGATGAGGAATCGGTTTGTTAACGTACATCAATCCTTATTGATAGTAGTATATCCCTCTTTCCTTGAGATTGGTTGTGAGTAGCTAGTCCATTCTCTCCAATATAACTCCCAAAATTTCTGGTTCTTTATATCTTTTTGGTCCCATATGCCAATGTGGTCACATACGCCAGTCTGTTCAATGTGATGTTAGGAATACCAGCTGCAAACCAAGGACAAGCTATATCAAAATTCCAACAGCTTGTTTCAAACAAGTTTTGTTTGCCCACGATGATGTTGAAGAAAACTTTGCCCAATAAACATACTTCCACTGTCCTTAACCTTCATGCACCTTCAGCTTTCCCGAAGCAAACAAATCCATGAGTCTCCAAGATTTTCCTTTGTCAACTCAAGCAACTCAGTATGCTAGGATTGCTAACACACCCCCACTCCTGGCTCTTTCCCCATTGTGTATGTGATGGTGCTCGCTCCCACCCGGAGCTCTCTACACTAACCCCATTCCCTGCTCCATTCTATCACATCTATGCTGGTGCTCTCCAAGACCGTATCTTAGTGAAGGACATTATAAAAGTACAAGTTGTTGTGCAGTATTTGAAACTAGACTGACACATCAGTGCAGTACTGAGGGAGACCGCTCTGTCCATACATTATGCAGTAAAGGTCTGTCATGAATCATCATTGTCTGTTGTGATGGTTCATGTGGAATGGCATAAAAAGTTATAACACAAACACACACCATTCAGTCCAATGTGTAGGTGTTTATACTCACACAAGTCCCAATCCCCTCCCCTATTCTCCTCTATTCCCTTCTCCCTCATCCATCCATCATAATCCCTCAAGAAAAAAAGACAATCGGTCATTTTCAATCCACGACTGTCTGTGGGATACTGCTGTGCGCAATTGGCTGCCACATTTTGTCCACAAATATATACGGTCAATTCACTTTGCAGTCTATTCTGTGAAGCGCTTTGAGATGTCTAGAAGACGTGATAGGGTGCTGTATCAAATGCAAGGATTATTATATTATTATCAAGGTTCCTCTTTGATACGCTGATCCATTGTGCTTGAACCACAGCTTCCTCATTCTTCCTCTCTGTGTAAAGCAGTTTCTCCTAACCTTCCTTACCATTTCATTATATTTCCCAATATCCACCTTATCCATGTCAGAACCAGTGACATTGGACACAACAGGAAGGGATTCCTGCTGAGCGACTAGCAGGAGCTCAGAGTTAAATTAACAAACAGGAATCAAGGGTTTTATTATCCATAAAAATAATCCAGATTATTACCTGAGCCACGTGAAGATTGGCCCAGAGATAAACAGCTCAGAAAAGAATATGAGTAGTTGGAAGAGTAGAGTGAGAGGGAGTGATTCATGGGCCACTGGCACCAATACTGAGTCAGTGAGGAGCTGTGCAGCCGGGATGGGCTACACCTGATCCAGGCTGGGACAAAGGTCTCAGCAGAAAGGATAAATAGGATTGTAGAAAGGGCTTAAAGCTATAAAGGGGAGGAAGGTTCAGGTTGACAGACCAGTAAATGAGATAAGAAGAGATAAGAGAAAAGGTCAGAGTGTGAAAAGTAATAAAGAAAGCAGAAAAAGGGTTATAAGAACTAAACTCAAAACGTGTGAGAGAAACATTGTCAGGCATCATAGACAGTTCCCTGAATAAGTCTGTACACAAATGCACGTAGCATATGAAATAAATGTATATTTTAAAACCGACAAGGGAGCATGTAACAAAACTAGAATTAGTTAATAATCTGATGGTAAGGGAACATCTTGCAAATAATGACCATAATATAATTGAATTTGATATTAGGTTTGAGAGGGAGATGTAGAGTTGCAAACCAAGGTGTTAAATTTAAGCAAGGCAAACTTCGAAGGGATGAAAATCAATTAACTGTTAATGGATAAACCCACTGACACACAGTGGGAAGTATTCAAAGAAGAATTTGGTACAAAACAAAACCAGGCCATCCCCTAAACACAAAAGCTCCACTTGTGGAGTTCAACAAACACGGTCGACAAATGATGTGAGAGACAGCAACAAACTGAAAGAAAAAGCTGACACTAATGCAAGAAAAGTAGAAATCCAGTGGCCTGGGAGTCTTATGAAAAGCAACACAGAGACACAAAGAAAGTAGTAAGAGATGCAAAAAGGGAATATGAAAAAAGCTGGCAATGGATATCAAGGGCAACAGTAAGGGTTTTATAAATATATTAAGAGAAAGAGAATGGTGAAGGGGAATGTGGGCCCGTTAAAGACCGATGCAGGTGAGACTATAATGGACAACAAGGAAATGGAGGCTTGTTGAGTGAATACTTTGCTTCCGTTTTCACAGTTGAGGAAGAGGACAAAATTCCAGTGGTACAAGGGAACCTAAAATAAACCAAAAAGAACTAAATCGATTTAATATAAATAAAAAAATGGTAATGGAGAAAATAAAGGGACTAAAGATTGGTGGAGTCCTGTAGCTCAGTGGTTAGAGCACTCGCTTTGCAAGCGGGAGACCTGAGTTCAATTCCAGGCAGAGGGCGAAACCTTGGGCAAGTTTCCTTACTCCACACAGAGCCTAATAATAATCCTCCAAAAACCCAAAACAATAATAAAATTGGTCATTTTCAATCTACGACTGTTTGTGGGACATTGCTGTGCGCAATTGGCTGCCGCGTTCGCCCACAAATATACAGTCCATTCACTTTACAGTGTGTTCTGTGAAGCGCTTTGGGACGTCCTCCCGACGTGAAAAGCGCTATATCAAATGCAAGGATTATTATTATTATTAAAGATTGACAAATCTCCAGATCCTGGTGGATTCCACTCCAGGGGATTACAAGAAGTTGGGGAGGGAATTGCAGTCATAATTTTCCAAAGCTCTATATTCAGGAATTGTGCCCTCGGATTGGAGAATTGCACTTAAGAAGTGAGGGAGAGAGAAACCAGGTAACTACAGACCTGTCAGCTTAACCTCAGCTGTGGGGACATTACTGGAATCTCTCATCAGGGACAGAGTAACTGAGCACTTGGACAAATATGAGCTAATCAAAGAATCAGTGAGGATTTGTGAAGGTCATGACAAATCTAATTGAATTTTTTGAGGAGATCACTAACATGGTGGATAAGAGAGTGTCTGTGGATGTCGTCTACATGGACTTCCAGAGGCATTTGATAAGGTTCCACAAAAGAGGTTATTAGCAAAAATAAAATTGCATGAGATCAGAGTTAACTTTGTAAAGTGGCAGATAATTGGTTGGGAGGCAGGAAGCAGAGAGGAGGGAGAAAAGTAAGTTTCTCTGATTGGTGGGATGTGACAAGTGGTGTCCCACGGGGGTCTACTTTTCACCATATATATATATATATATATGTATATATATAAACGACTTGGATGAAGGAATAGAGAGTTTTATATTAAAATTGGCAGATGACACAAAGTTAGGAGGCACAGAAAATTGTGTAGATGGGACTGATACAAAGGGACGTAGATAGATTAAATGAGTGGGCAAAACTGTGGCAGATGGAATTCAAGGTGGGGAAGTGTGAGGTCATCCACTATAGATCTGAAAATAACAAAACAGAATATTTTCTAAATGGTGAGGAATTAGGAACTGTGGAGGAGCAAAGGGATTTGGGTGTCCACGTCCACAAATCACTAAAAACTAATTCACAGTCACAAAAAGTCATCAAAAAGGCTAATGGGATGTTGGCCTTTATCTCAATGGGGCTGGAATATAAAGGAGAGGAAATGATGCTTCAACGATACAGAGCCTTGGTCAGACCCCATCTGGAGTCTGCGTTCAGTTTTGGGCCCCACACCTCAGGAAGAATATATTGGCTCTGGAGGGGAAGCAGCGCAGGGTCACCAGAATGATACCAGGGCTTAAAGGGTTAAAATGCAAGCACAGTTTGCATAAACGTGGTCTCTATTCCCTTGAGTTCAGAAGGTTGAGGGATGATCTAATTGAGTTGTTTACAATAATGAAGGGATTTGAGAGGGTGGATACAGAGAAACTATTTCCTCTGGTGGGGAATCAAGAACAAGGGGCATCATCTTAATATTAGACCCAAGCCATTTAAGGGTGAAATCAGGGGCAGTTTTTTGCCCAATGGGGAGTGGATTGTTGGATCCATTCCTATTCCAAAGCTGAGGTGGAGAGATATCTGAAAGGTGCTTAACCAATGTCATTTTGCTGTTAGGGTTAAGAAATACACGGTAAGGCCGGGTAATTAGACTTCAGGTGCAGATCAGCCATGATCGTATAGAATGGCAGAACAGGCTCGAGGGCCTCAATGGCCTCCTCCTGTTTCGAAGTTTCTTATTCCCTATCCCAAATACCCTAATTGTCAACCCCAACCCTAATTACTCTAACCCTAATTCTCTCACTCAGTTGCTCTCTCACGGCTCTCTGTCAGTTTCTCTCCGTTTTACTCTCATTGCTGTGCGCAATTGGCTGCCATGTTTTGCCCACAAATATATACAGTCAATTCACTTTACAGTCTATTCTGTGAAGCGCTTTGAGGCGTCGAGAAGACGTGAAAAGTGCTATATCAAATGCAAGGATTATTATTGTTATTATTCTCTCTCATTCTCTCTATCTGTCTCTCTTCTCAGTTTCTTTCATTCTCTCTCTCAGTCTCTCTCTCTTTCAGGCGCTCTCTCTCATTCTCTCTCTCTCAATATCTCACTCAGTGTCTCTCTCTGATAAAACTTCCTGTCTGGACTTTGAACTATAGGCAAGTCTCACCTCTCTCTGTTTCTATCTCTTAACTCATTCCTGCAATGAGACTCGAGGGTGAAGGAGAGAGACTGAGAGTCAGACAGACAGACAGAGAGACAAAGATCGACTGAGAGAGAGAGACCGAGCGAGAAAGACAGAAAGTGACTGAGCGAGAGACAGAGAGTGAGAGAGCAACATAGAAACTGACAGAGAGAGAGACCGTGAGCTCAAAGTCCTCTCATTTTGAGTTTATCTTATTACCACACCTTAAATTTTATACAATTATACCCGACAGTGTAGAGGAGCTTTACTGTGTCTAACCCTGACCTGGGGGTGTGGACGCACAGTGTAGAGGAGCTAAATTGTGTGCCTAACTATCTCTCACAGAACATGGCAAATCATGGACCTGTCTATGGTTTAAACAGAGAGTTACAGAAAAAACTGAATGAAAAATACGACAGCAATTTAGAAATTTGTCTGATAGACTGGATATCTATTCAATGTCAAATTCAGAAACCAGATCCTGGGAGACGTAGTTTCCAAAACTGGCTCAAGGATGGGACGGTGAGTGACAGACAGACTTGTGTCTCTCAGAAACCCATCACTACGCTCTCTCTCTCAATCTCCTTAGTTTGTCTCTCGTATCTCTCTCTGTCTCTCTTTCAGTCTCCCTCACAGTCCCTCTCTCTCTCCTAGATATTGTGTCATCTGATAAATTCTCTCTATCCTGCGTAAGTTTCTCTCTTTTTCTCTGTCTCTTTTTCTGTGTTTCTCTCTCTCTCTCCCTCAGTCTCGCAGTCTCTTATCTATTTCTCTCAGTCTCTCTTCTCAGGTGTTGTGTCTGATAAACTCTGTCTATCCCACATCAGTCTCTCTATCTCGGTCTCTCTCTCGTCTCTCTCAGTCTCTGGTCCTCAGAGAGAGTGTGTGAGGGTTAGTCTCTCTCTCTCGCTCTAACACTCTCTCTCTCTTCTCAGGTGTTGTGTCATCTGATAAATTCTCTCTATCCAGTGTCAAACCATCCCATTGAAAGAGTAGTTGAATCGAAAATGGCATTTAAACAAATGGAATTAATTTCTCAATTCCTTACGGCAATCCAAGAATATGGATTGGGGAAGTTTGAGATATTTCAAACTGTTGACTTGTGGGAGGGTAAGAATTTTTATTTATTAAAATTTTTACGGCGCCTTTCACCCCCCAGAAACATCTCATGCTTCCCCCCCCCCTCCCACACAGAGAAACTGTGCTGTATCACACAAAATATAGTCGCTACACTTTACAGTATATTCTGTGAAGCGCTTTGAGATGGCTCAACGACGCGATAAGGCGCTGTATCAAATGCAAGGATTATTGTTATAAATTTATAATCAAAACTAAAATTGCTACTAAATTATAAACCAAATCAGTTTAAAAACCTAAAATATCGCTGGGAATTAATTATTATTATTAAATATTAATTGTGATTTTGAAAATTGTTCTTAAATTATTATGATTAATTGCAAATTGGGATTAAATCAATTATTGTTTTTAGAGTGTTTTAAGAGTTTTGACTGCGAATTGAATGTTTTAGTTGAATTGTTCATTATTAATAATTAAAATAACAATTGTTAATTGATATAATTGTTCCTGGTTCTGTTACAGCTAAAGATTTAGCGGCTGTTCAGAGAACATTGATGAATCTCGGGAGTTTAGCGCTGTCAAAAGATAACGGATTATATGTCGGTAATCCTGACTGGTTTCCGAGGTAAGAGAGAGAGAAAGAGACTTGAGAAAGACTGAGAGAATGAGAGAGAGTGTGAAAGACTAAGTTTCCGTGTTTTTAGACAACTGACAACTCTCTCTTTCTCACACTCTCCCATCTTTCTCCCTCCCTCACACTCTCACTCACACCCTCACACATACTCTCACACACACACTGTATCTTACACACTCGCTCTCACTCACCATCTCACACTCACTCTCACATTCACACACATACTCTCACACTCTCTCACACACACTCGCTCTCTCACACACCTCTCTCCCTTTCCCAGGAAATCCACCGAAAACCCTCGTAAATTTACTGCGGAGCAACTGAAACGTGGAAATTCCATCATTGGTTTACAAATGGGAACGAATAGAGGAGCGTCTCAGTCTGGAATGACAGGATATGGGACTCCGAGACAGATTCATTAACCCTAAACCCCATCTCCCTCTCACACCTCAACCGCTCTCTCCTCCTCATTGTCAACTCCTAAGACGTGTGAGTGGTTGGTTTTGGTTGCAATTTGGTTTTGGAATTAAAGCTGTGATATTCAACTTCAGGGTGTGTTCATTTTTAATTTAGACGGAAAGAGACTGAGAGATAGTGAGAGACTGAGAAGGCGGATCTGAGAGAGAAAGACTGAGAGAGAGAGATTTTAAATTTTGATTCTTTAATGAGCATCTCACAAAAACTCTGTGTCTCTCACACACAGACTCTGTCTGTCTCTCTCTCTCTCTCATGTTCTGTTTCTGTCACACACACACTGTCCTGTCTCTCGCTCTCTCTCTGTCTCTCCCTCTCTGTCTCTCTCTCTGTCTCTCTCTCGTTCTCTCTCTGTCTCTCTCTCTCTCAGTCTCTCTGTCTCTGTCTCAGTCTCTCTCTCTCTCGCTCTCTGTCTCTCTCTCTGTGTCTCTCTTTCTCTCTCTGTTTCTCTCTCTGTTTCTCTCTCTCTCTCTCTCTGTGTCTGTCTCTCTCTCTCTCTCGCTGTGTGTCTGTCTCTCTCTCTCTCCGTGTCTCTCTCTCTCTCGCTGTGTGTCTGTCTGTCTGTCTGTCTCTCTCTCTCTCTATGTGTCTGTCTCTCTCTCTCTGTCTCTCTCTCTCTCTATGTGTCTGTCTCTCTCTCTCTCTATGTGTCTGTCTGTCTCTCTCTCTCTCTATGTGTCTGTCTCTCTCTCTCTGTCTCTCTCTCTCTCTATGTGTCTGTCTCTCTCTCTCTCTATGTGTCTGTCTCTCTCTCTCTCTCGCTGTGTGTCTGTCTCTCTCTCTCTCTCTCTGTCTCTCTCTCTCGCTGTGTGTCTGTCTCTCTCTCTCTCTCTCTATGTGTCTGTCTCTCTCTCTCTCTATGTGTCTGTCTCTCTCTCTCTCGCTGTGTGTCTGTCTCTCTCTCTCTCTGTGTCTCTCTCTCTCTCTCTCTCTCTATGTGTCTGTCTCTCTCTCTCGCTGTGTGTCTGTCTCTCTCTCTCTCTGTGTCTCTCTCTCTCTCTATGTGTCTCTCTCTCTCTCTCTATGTGTCTGTCTCTCTCTCTCTCTATGTGTCTGTCTCTCTCTCTCGCTGTGTGTCTGTCTCTCTCTCTCTCTGTGTCTCTCTCTCTCGCTGTGTGTCTGTCTCTCTCTCTCTCTGTCTGTCTCTCTCTCTCTCTCTCTATGTGTCTGTCTCTCTCTCTCTCTGTGTCTCTCTCTCTGTGTCTCTCTCTCTCTCTCTATGTGTCTGTCTCTCTCTCTCTCTATGTGTCTGTCTCTCTCTCTCGCTGTGTGTCTGTCTCTCTCTCTCTCTGTGTCTCTCTCTCTCTCTCTCTCTCTCGCTGTGTGTCTGTCGCGCTCTGTCTGTTGTTCGCTCCACACATTCCGTACAGATCAAATCTCCGCTGATGGAGAACCGGAAGCTTCTCCCGGACGGAGAGCAGATGCTGATGGTCGATGAGAGCCAATTGGAATCCAGGATGTGTTCCGGCGTCGGCAAGAACTTCCCCCCAGGGATCCACAACCAGCGAGTGACCGTGAGAGAGGCGCTGAGTGTTGTGACTGCCCGTCTGAGCGGCCGCCACCACGTAGCACTGTGTCTCGATCGCCCGCGCTCGCAGCAACACCTGAGAGAGAGAGAGAGAGAGCGTGAGAGTGAGAGGAGAGGAGAGCGTGAGAGTGAGAGCGTGAGAGTGAGAGCGTGAGAGTGAGAGAGCGTGAGAGAGAGAGAGCGTGAGAGTGAGAGCGTGAGAGAGAGAGAGAGTGAGAGAGAGAGCGTGAGAGAGAGAGAGAGTGAGAGAGAGAGCGTGAGAGTGAGAGCGTGAGAGTGAGAGAGCGTGAGAGAGAGAGAGCGTGAGAGAGAGAGAGCGTGAGAGTGAGAGCGTGAGAGCGTGAGAGAGAGAGAGCGTGAGAGAGAGAGAGCGTGAGAGTGAGAGAGCGTGAGAGTGAGAGAGCGTGAGAGAGAGAGAGCGTGAGAGAGAGAGAGCGTGAGAGTGAGAGAGCGTGAGAGAGAGAGCGTGAGAGTGAGAGAGCGTGAGAGAGAGAGAGCGTGAGAGTGAGAGAGCGTGAGAGTGAGAGAGAGAACATGAGAGTGAGAGAGAGCGTGAGAGTGTGAGAGAGAGCGTGAGAGAGAGAGCGTGAGAGTGAGAGAGCGTGAGAGAGAGAGAGCGTGAGAGGAGAGCGTGAGAGTGAGAGAGCGTGAGAGAGAGAGCGTGAGAGTGAGAGAGCGTGAGAGAGAGAGAGCGTGAGAGTGAGAGAGCGTGAGAGTGAGAGAGCGTGAGAGTGAGAGAGCGTGAGAGAAGAGAGAGAGCGGGAGAGTGAGAGAGCGTGAGAATGAGAGAGCGTGAGAGTGAGAGAGCGTGAGAGTGAGAGAGCGTGAGAGTGAGAGAGCGTGAGAGTGAGAGAGCGTGAGAGAGAGAGACGTGAGAGAGAGAGAGCGGGAGAGTGAGAGAGCGTGAGAATGACTGGAGAGGACGGCTGGCCTTTACATTCCTTCCCTCAGGAAGCTCTACTTGGTAAAGTCCTTACTATACAGTTGGAACGCTTTATCGCTAACCAGCTTTGCTCTCACCTCTCCCTCCATTCCCTCCTCAAGCCCCACTACTCTGGTTTCTGCCCTGCCCACAGCACAGAGACGGCGCTTGTCAAAGTCACAAACTACGTCCTCTCTGAGACCAGGGCTCCCTGTGCCTCGTCATCCTCCTGAACCTCTGCACCTCATTTGACACAGTCAACCACTCCATCCTTCGCCACTACGTCTCCTCTCTCATCGACCTCAGTGGGACCGTGTTTGTCTGGTTCAAGACCTGCCCAACAAACCGCCTTCACTTTATCTCCTCAAACGGTTTCTTCTCCCGCCCCTTCCCGGTCACCTGTGGGGTACCCGAGGGCTCCATCCTTGGCCCCCTTCTCTTCCTCATCTATATGCTCCTTCTTGGTGATGTGAGCCGAAAACGTGGGGTAAACTTCCACATATATGCTGATAATACACAAATTTACTTCTCCTTCAGCTGCGTCTCCAAGCCCCTGAGGTTCTGTTGGCTAGTCTGGCCGACCTCAGGGCCTGGATCAACACAAACTTATTGCAACTAAACATTGACAAGACAGAAGCCATAATCCTGTCAACGTCTTCTATCCTGCGGCTCTGACCTCAACCTCCCCAGCCTATCCCTCAGACCTACTGAACCTGTATGCGACCTAGGTGTCAGGTTTGACCCACAGCTGTCATTCCTTCCCCCTTAATTGGTCCCTGACTAGGACCACCTTCCTCCACCTCAGTCACATGGCCCGCCTCCAACCGTAGGTCACACCCAAAACCCTCATTCACGCCTTTGTCACCTCCCGCATCAACTACACCAATACCTTCCATACCGGTCTCCCCAGATCCAATACTCACAAACTACAGGTGATTCAGAACTCTGTTGTCCATATCCTCACCCATACTCCATCACCCGAGTCCTCGCCAGGCTCCACTGGCTTCTTATCACACATACACACACTCTGTAACCCCATCACCCCAGTCCATCACCTGCAGATCATCCAGAACTCTGCAGCCTGCATCCTGTCCTGCACCAGGCTCTGCAACCCTATCACCCCATCCTCGCCCGACTCCACTGGCTTCCCATCACGCAGAGGATACAGTTCAAGATCCTGGTCCTCACCTTCAAAGCTCTACATGGTCTTGCTCCCCCCAAGCTCTCCGACCTCCTAACCCCCTACCATCCTGCTCACTCCCTCCGCTCAGCGGGCTTCGGCCTGCTTCATGTCCCCCACCTCACTCGCCCCTTCATTGGCGGGCGGGCCAGAGACCTGAGTTCGATTCCCAGGCAGGGTGAAACCTTGGGCAAGTTTCCATACTCCACTCATCTCTGTTTACCAGCAGTCAGTAGGAACCCAGTTGTTAGTCGAATGACGGATAGCTTTTCCGGGGGTAATAATTTTTATTTTAATTTGTAATTTAAATTTTCAATTTTTAAAAAAAGTAGCAATAGTAATTGGGTCACTCAATCCACAGCTGTTTGTGGAGTCACTGCAATTGGCTGCTGTGTTTGGCCCACAGATATACAGTCAATTCACTTTACAGTATATTCTGTGAAGTGTTTTGAAATGCCTCGAATACGTGATGTATCAAATGCAAAGATTATTATCAGAATTATTACAAATCAATGACTCTCTCTCTCTGTCTCTGTGGGTCTCTCAGGCGAGCAACGGATTAACTAACATTTCTGGGCTGGAGCGTTTGGAAAACCTGCAGACTTTACATCTTCGCGACAACTTGCTGGAGCACCTTGACAGCTTCACTGGGGGCATGAAGTCACTGCAGTACCTGAACCTCAGGTAGTGGGGTAGCAAGGCTGTGGTTGGGGGGGGTGGGGTAGCAAGGCTGTGGTTGGGGGGGTGGGGTAGCAAGGCTGTGGTTGGGGATGGATGGGTAGCCAGGGGGGTGGGGTAGCAAGGCTGTGGGTGGGGGGTGGGGTAGCAAGGCTGTGGGTGGGGGGTGGGGTAGCAAGGCTGTGGGTGGGGGGTGGGGTAGCAAGGCTCTGGGTGGGGGGTGGGGTAGCAAGGCTGTGGGTAGAGGGGTGGGGTAGCAAGGCTCTGGGTGAGGGGGTGGGGTAGCAAGGCTTCGGGGGGAGAGGGGTAGCAAGGCTGTGCATGAGGGGATGGGGTAGCAAGGCTGTGGGTGGGGGGGGTAGCAAGGTTGTGGGAGGTGGGGGTTAGCCAGGCTGAGGGTGGGGGGGGTGGGGTTAGCAAGGCTGTGAGTGGGGGGGGATAGCCAGGCTGTAGGTGGGGGGTGGTGGGGTAGCAGGGCTGTGGGGGTGACTCTGGGGTCAATACTGTGGACGCCACAGAAACCCGATTGGAGGGGTTTATAAAAGGAATGGTGGGAGAGGAAAGAGTGAAGCTGGAACACCATGATTTGTCCCAGGGCCTTAGAGAGGAATGGGAGGGTGGAGATGGGTCGGTAGCTGGAGAGGAGGGATGGATCCAGGGAAGGTTTTTTGAGGATGGGGGTGATGACAGCTGTTTTGACAAGAGGGTGGGACGCAAAGTTTTTATACCTGCTCAGTGAGTGTAGAATGTATCCTGGGACCTGCCCAACATGTCCGTTCTCTGCTCAGGGGGAACATCATAGCAGATGTCAGCGAAGTGAATAATTTACAAAACCTCCCTTCTCTGCGAGCTCTGGTGTTGGCCGGTGAGTCATGTTTCTCATCAGCATCTGCACATTTTTCTTTTGTGTAGTGTCATGTTCACTTTAAGACTCAACTGTAGCTCAGTGGTAGAGCACTCGCCTTGCAGGTTCGATTCCCGGGCAGGGCGGAACCTTAGGCAAGTTTCCTTACTCCAAACACCTCTGCTTACCCAGCAGTAAATAGGAACTCATTGATAGTCTGTTGGCGGATTGCTTTTCAGGGACATAAGATACAATAATCTAATAATCCGGGGGTAATAAACCCCTCCCAAAAAATAATAATTTGGTCACTCAATGCACGACTGTTTGTGGAACGCTGCTGTGTGCAAATGGCTGCTGTGTTTCACCAAAAAAATATAATCAATTCACTTTACAGGATATTCTGTAATGTCTCTAAAATGTGATAAGGTGCCACAACAATGCAAGGAATATTATTATATTATTGTTTTCAGATCCCACACAGTTGGTATTCCATCATTTACGATTGTATGGGTTAATACCATATAGAATCTGTTGTGAAGTTTGGCTTCTTTCACTTTTTCAGAAAATCCCTGTGCTGAGGATGATCATTACAGACTGGATACACTGATCATTCTGCGTAAATTGGAAAGACTGGACAAGAATGAGTTCTCTGAGGAGGAACGGATGGAGGCTGATGATGTTGTCAGAGACCGACTGGAGGAGGAGCAGGAGAAAGAGGTACTGGAGAGAAGTGCAATGATACCCAAACACAAATTTTATTTTGAAGTAATGAAATAATGCTCGCAATTTGGATGTTAATTTGTTACTTCCTTTATTATAATAATAATAATCCTTGCGTTTGATACAGCGTCTTATCACATCTTCGAGACGTCTCAAAGCACTTCACAGGATATACTGTAAAGTGAATTGACTGCATGTTTTGTGAGCGAAACACGGCAGCCAATTGCGCACAGTAGCGTCCCCACAAACAGCCGTGGGTTGAAAATGACCAATTTATTATTGTTTTTTTAGAAAAGTTTGAAGGCATTATTACCCCCAGCAAAGCGATCCACCAAACAACTAACAACAACAACATTTCATTTATAGAGCACCTTTCACGTCGGGAGGACGTCCCAAGGCGCTGGACAGTTGGGTCGGGACCCGAGCATTGGGGGGAAATGGTCAGGGTGAGGGGAGAGAAGGGAGGGAGCGAGGAGGGGGTAGAGAGTCGAGAGGGGAGCTGAAGGCACGGTCGAAGAGAAAGGTCGAAGAGAAACAATCTACTTACTCATTCAGGACCTGAGCCAATCCATCTGCCTCGCAAGTGAGAGGACTTGGGTTTGATTCCGGGGGCAGGGCAAAAGTTTGGGCAAGTTTCCTTACTCCACACGCCTCTGTTCATACAGCAGTGAGTCTGTGTTCATTGGCAGATAACAAACGTAACAAAACAACCAATAATAATTTGGTCACTCAATCCACGACGATAGGAGCCATCATCACTCCTATCCTTAAA